TTTTTCTCAAGATTGCTGCAGATATTTAAGGTTGTTTTTTGTTCCATATAAAGTTTTTGAGTATTCGTTCTACGTCTGTGAAAATGTTGGTATTTTAATTGGAAATGCATTGAATTTATAGGGCTTTGGGTAATATGGACAATTAATGATGTTTATTCTACCAATTCATGAACATGGCATATTCTTCCATTTGTTTTTGTCTTCCTCTATCTCTTTTTTCAACATCAGGTAGTTTTCTGAGTACAGGTCTTTTACCTCTTCAGATTATTCCTACTAATAGGTTTTCATTTTTTTGTTGCAGTGGTAAATGGGATTGTTTCTTTGGTTTCTCTTTCTGAGAACTCATTATCGATATATATAAAAAGCCAGAGGCCATAATGACTGGAACAACTGGTCACTATGACACCCAATGCGACCAGCAAAATGGGTTGATTGGATGTGGGGCTGGTTGGCCAACCTTCCTCAGCTTCTTTCCTCAGCCTCTCCATTCCCGTCGGCCTGCCCCTCCCTGATAGGCCCGCAGCCCCTCTTTCTGGCTGGCCCCATCCCTGATTGTCTCCCCACCCCTATAGGGGGCGTGGCAGGCCAGCCAACTTCCTACAGCCCCTCCACCCAGCCAGCCCCACCCCTCATTAGCCCCTCTACTTTGATCAAGGGCAGGGCCTGTCAGCCAGTCACCCAGGGCCCCTCCCTCAGGCCGCTGGCCTCTGATCGCCCTCTACCCCATTCCATTTAGGGGTAGGGCTGGCCAGTCCACTATCTACAGCCCCTTCCCACAGCCGGCCCCACCCCCTGATCAGCCCTTGGCCCTCCCCACAGCCAGCTCCACCCCTGATCACCAACCTCCCACTGTCTCCTCTCAACGGGCCCAGCCCCATTCCGCTGACTGGTGCTGGGCTGGCCTGACCCCACCCGTACAGAATGCGTGCTTCCAGTTGGTGAATAAAGAAGTATCTATTTTGGGGTGTTAATTTTATACTTTGCTCTCTTGCCTAATTCATTTGTTTAATCTAGTAGTTTCCTGATGGAGTCTTTAGGGTTTTCTATGTACAATATCCTGTCATCTGCAAATAATGACATTATGCCTTTTACTTCTAGTCTGATCACTGTAGCTAGGATTTCCAATACTATGTTGCATAAGAGGAGTGAAAGTGGGCATCCCTGTCTTAGGGGAAATGGTTTTAGTTTTTGCCCATTGAGTATGATGTTGGCTGTAATTTTGTTATATGTGGGCTTTATTATGTTGAGGTATGATCCTCTATTCCCACTTTGCTGAGAGTTTTTATCAACACTGGGTGTTAGATTTTGTCAAATGTTTTTTCTGTGCCATGCTGATTTGATGGTGATAAACTCCTTTAGCTTTTTAAAAAATGTTTGGGAAGTTCCTTATTTCACTGTCCATTTTGAATGATAGCCTGCTGTATATAGTAATCTTGGTTTCAGATCTTTGCTTTCCATTACCTCTAGTACTTTATGCCAGTCTCTCAGCCTGTAGAATTTCTGATGAGAAATCAGTTGACAGCCTTATGAGAGCTTCTTTATAGATAACAAATTGCTGTTCTCTTGCTGTCTTTAAGATTCTCTCTTTGTCTTTAATTTTTGTTATTTTAATTATGATGTGTCTGTCTCTATGTGGGCATGTTTGAGATTTTGCTTGGCACTCTGTGTGTCTCCTGAATTTATGTTCCTTTTTACTTTACCAGATTAGAGAAGTTTTCTGCCAGTACTTCTTCAAAGAGTTTGCCTATTCATTCCTCTCTTTCTTCACCGCCTGGTACTCCTATGATGCAAATATTGTTACATTTTATGGTTTCCCACAGCTTCCTTTAGATGTCCTCCTGTTTTTTAAATTGTTTTTTTCTTTTTGGTTCTCTGATTGATTTTTTTCAACCCTGTCTTATAACTCACTTATCTGATCCTTGGTTTCCCCTAATCTGCTGTGTATTCCTTCCAATGTATTCTTTATTAGTGCTACCTAAAGCCTGGTGCATGAAATTTGTGCACTCGGGAAGGTTTGGAGGGATTCCCTCAGCCTGACCTGCACCCTCTCACAGTCTGGAAGCCTTTGGGGGATGTCCAGCATTCGGACATCCTTAGTGCTGCTTCAGAAGTGGGAGAAGCTCCCACCACTGCCGCTGCACTCACCAGTCATGAGCCCAGCTTCTGGCTGAGGGGCACTTACCCTTTGGTAATGCACCGACCAGCAAGGGGCAGCTATGGCATTCGGCATCTGCCCCCTGGTGGTCAGTGTGCCTTATAGCGACTAGTTGTTCTGCCATTTGGTTGATTTGCATATTAGCCTTTTATTATATAGGATGGCATTCTTAATTAGTGATTAGTCATTTTCATGGTTTATATATCTTTTTTCAGGCTATTTCGTATCATTGTAATTATTATTCTGAACTCTATTTCTGATAAATACACTGAGTGGCCAGATTAGTATGATCTCTGAATGCATAATAATCTGCCACTCACTGTATATCCCATATAATAAAAGGCTAACATACAAATTGTCCCCTTGACCAGGAGTTTGACCAGTAGGTAGGCTGGCCAACTGCCCATGTCCCCTTCCCCTGGTCAGGCTGGCTGGACCCACAACCATGCACGAATTCATGCACACATACATATATACACACACTGAGTAGCCAGATTTTATACGTTCAGAGATCATAATAAGCTGGCCACTCAGTGTATATTATCTCCATTTCATTTAGCTCTTCTGGAGAATTCTCTTCTTCATTTGGGGCTTGTGGTTTTGTCTCCCATTTGCCTTCCTGTTTGGTTTTGTTTCTGTGTATTAGGTAGATCTGCTGCAATTTCTAATCTTTTTGGAGGTTCTCAGGTGCAGAACAGTGTCTGACAGTGATGTGACTATCTCTGAGTACCACAAAATTTACAGATCGTGGCTCCTCTGCTGGGCTGGGTGCCTTTGGAAAGGACCAAGATGCGCACCAGGGTCTGCTTTTCCTAGCTCTGGGCCCAGAAGGAGATCAGGCAAAGACTCAAGTCTCTGCCTGCAGGCTGATTGTTATTCTCAGTCTCTTAATGAGCCTCAGGCTATAAACTACACTGGGTGAGGTGAGAGGTTTTGCAATAGGTGGGGCAGTTGCTTCCTCCCCACACAGAATCTGCCTGTATTGTAAATGTCTCTCTGAGAAAGATATCCATTGCAGTATGGGAAAGACTAAACACAGGGATGGCAGGTTGGCTTCAAACTCTTACCCCTAAGCTCCCAATCCTGGATTCTCATACAGATCTAGTCCATTCTGCCCTCCCTCTGTCAGCACTCAAGGCAGAGGGTAGCTGCACATGAAATTTTGTTCATTGGCCTTTTAAGAGGGTGCCTGCATTTTCCGGTGTCTCAACTGGCAGACACACACACACACACACACACAGAAAAAACAAACAAACAAACAAACAAACAAACAAAAAAAACCGACAATAAAAAATCTACTTCTTTTCACAGCCAGATGTTAGTGGGAACCTTGTGCTCTTGGTTGGGGAGCCCAGGTTGGGTTTAGACCAGAGTTCTCAGTGGGAAATCCACGTGTGTGTGTGTGTGTGTGTGTGTGTGTCCCCTCCCGTTCCCCTGAGATATTCCTCCGAGACTCTAGCTGCTGTCTGTGGTAGCCCAGCCAGCCCTCCTGCACCTCCATATCTCATACCAGTCTCTATGTCAGGGGTGGGAACCTTTTTTTTTTCTTTGCCAAGGGCTATTTGGATATATAGAACATCATTTGCAGGCCATACAAAATCATCCACTTAAAACTTAGCCTACTATATTTGGTCAAACATTTCATTTCTCATCCCTAATTTCTTGGCAGGGCCAGACCAAATGATTTTGCAGGTCTCATTTGGCTGATGGTCCAGACGTTCCTCACCCCTCATCCATGTGGTCTCTGCTTTATGTCCTTAGGTATCAGGGTTCTTTCCAGCTAGTCTTCAGTTGGTTTTTCAGGATGGTTTTTCTACATTTTAGTTGTAATTCCAGTTTGGTCCTGGGCGAAGGTCAGTATAGCTTCCACTTAATCTACTGCCATTTTGGATCCTCATCCCTGCTCATTTGAAGCTTACTTTCTAATGGTAACTGTGTTAAAAATTTAGTGACAGCTTTTATTGGGTGTAAAAGTCAAGTGGAAAATGTTAATGGCAGCACATCTAGTGTCTTCATGAAATCAGTGTGCTGTGTTTTAGGACCATATTGATAAGAGTGAAACAGTTAAACTGAAAATTCTATATTTTTCAGATCAAAGTAAGTAGTAGTACTATAAATTTAGTAATTTGCCTGATAGTTAATAATTTCAGGGAAAGTAATGAAATTTAGAACATCTAGGAAACTGTTGTTGTGAAAGGTTTTTTGTAGGTTTTGGGTGGATTAAAATTCGGTTCATTAATAAGCAGGAGGAAGTAATTAGAGTGAACAAGAAGATAGTATTTGATGGCTTTCCCCAAGTGGTTTTGTCGCTTTGTGTTTGAAGCAGTGCTATGATGTTATTGTTTCCAGTCTGGCTTTTCTTCAGTTCTTTAAGGTAAAAAAAATGTAAGTTAGTACTAGATAATTCCTTGATAAAAAATATTGACATAAATAAATAAGTTGAAAACTGAAATATAATTCCCAATGGTGTTTTGAACGTTTGATTAAAAGAACATTAACTAATTAAAGTTATGGTGCATGTAAATATTCATTTAATCTAGGTTGCTTCTTTTTATTTAATGTATCTAGTTGTGTTCATAGTACTTTTTTTTTTTTTTTTTGGTAACCACAGTAATTAGCTATAGCAATAACTTATGCAGCTTTCTCATAATTCTTAAAGAAAATATAATGAGTTTTGGACCTAATAGTATGATATAAACTTATGCAACAAAGGAATTTGAAAAATATTTTAAAGAACAATCTAAAACTCTGAGCTGCTATATATTACCCTCTTAGTGTCTGAAATTCTCAGTTTAAAAAAGTCAGATATATTAAGGATGATTTTATTTTTTTAAATTTCTTTTAGGTAAAAGTGCAGTTTTAAAGTGTCTACTGGATATTCACAAAATTTTTCAGGAAAGTGACCCAGCTTACATTCTAAACGATCTCTATATCTCAGACTACTGTGTATGGATTCAGAAAGCCAAGTAAGTTTGAATTACATATGACTTTTGTATGTTCCCATTTCTGGAATACCCCAAGGAAGAAAATTAAATAACCTGGGAGATAAATTTTAATGAAAGAGATGCCTCATTTACCAAACATTTTAAGAAGTGGATCAACACTGGTAGCTTGGTGAATTTGCTTAAGGAAGAAATGCAGATGTTGAAAAGCTAATTTACTTAAAAAATAAATAAATAAATAAAAATGGCACTGCTTAGAAAATAAATGTTTAAAAAAAGACAGTTATAAATACACATTTGGTGCAGTGTGCTTACAGTTCTTTTTAAAGCATTATATTTTGTCTTTTTCTTTAAATTAACATTGTTTAGAAAAGGAAATTGAGGTTAAAGTGTTGGCAGCAGCATTAGTTACGGTAATTGTATTCTCGGAAAACTGCAGGGGAACCAGAAGAAAGTCCTGCCAGTGTCCTCTTCAGGTGCATGGAATCCCACTGGTGTCTGCTTTGGTGGGTGATCCATGCAGAGTCTGAGATGGGCCTGCAGGGTTGGGGCCTTGTCCTTGGTGGGCACTTGGGGTCCGGTACACTTACCCTCTCACTCACTCTGGTCCTTTAGTGTTGTGTTGTGTTTTTTAAAAAGCTAATTTTTTCCTAGTTAGGAAAGGAGTATATGCCCACGGAAGAAAACACTGTGCTGTTCTTTGTTTGTTTGTTTGTTTTAATATATTTTATTGAGTTTTTACAGAGAATAAGGGATAGAGATAGTTAGAAACATCAATCAGCTGCCTTCTGCACACCCCCACTAGGTATATGCCCGCAATCAAGGTACATGCCTTTGACTGGAATCAAATCTGGGACCTTTCAGTCCACAGGCCGACGCTCTATCCACTGAGCCAAACCGGTTTTGGCTGTGCTAAATGGTTTTAATGCATGGTGTATTTTGAAAGGACAAGAGATCATATAGGGTATTATTTGGTTTTTGCTACATGGAAAGTTTTTTTTGCTTTTTATTTTCTCTAAACAAAATTAAAATCTAAAATTTCAGCTGTCTTCAGTACACATCTGAGCTTGCGAAGGTTGTAGATCACTGTTTTTTTCATTCCAGTATAATTTTTTAAGGTAGTTGTCGGGGTGGGGGTGGGGAGAAAAAAGACTTTGCAATACTGAAGCTTTTTACATCGAACTTTGGTTAATTTTCATGTTCCATGTGTTTTCATTGCTTTTTAGCACACTTCCCCTCCAACAGTGAAATCTTGTTTTGTGACCATTTCACTAATGTGGGAACTTTGCAGACAGAAACCATTTCATCACCGGAGAGTTTTCTCTCTTCTGGTCAGCCCTGATCAGCTTCCTCAGTTGTAAACAACACTAAGCCGTTTCAGCACCGAAATCTTAAGCTTTTAGAAAACATGGGGCCTGTCTGCTCTCGGCTGCTTCCCCTGTGCGCGTGCTTTAGTCGAGGAGAGGGCTGTGCCCTGAGCAAGCACGGTCTCCTCCATTCAGCTTGCTCTTATTTCTGGTTTACCTGCCAATGCCATGGGAGTAGTCGTGAATCACATTCGGAGGTAAAACATCGGTATTGAATATGAAAATGGAATTACTTACTTTTTCAACCACTAGTCATTGAGCCCTGCAGTGTGGCAGGCACTGAGTGACATAGGTGACGGGGCTACTCTGGTGAGTAAGAGCTGATCTTGTGGGGGCTTGACAGCCACTGCAGTGGGGAAGTGTGGATGCTGTGGGAGCACCATGGAAGTCACTCCCACTCTTAATATAGGAAACAGCCTCCAGAGGAAGAGTTGAAGCTGAGAACTTAGAGATCAGTAAGAGATGATCAGATGCAGGTGGGAAGTCAAGTGAAGAATATTTCAGACAATAGGAACAGAAGAATATGCCCTTTTTAAAGAGCTTAAAAGCCCTAGCCAGTTTGGCTCAATGGATAGAACGTTGGTCCGGGGACTGAAGGGTCTTAGGTTCAATTTTCAATTCTGGTCAACAGCATGTACTTTGGTTGCAGGCTCAATCCCTGACCCTGGAGAGAGAGAGAGACGGGGGAGTTTGGGAGGTGCGGGTGGGGGTGGGGTAGGAACTCAGAAGCTTAGGATGGATGGATCATAGTACAGGAATGGGAGGAAAGAAATGAGGCCAGAATTTCATGTGAGTACTCTGTCCTGGGAGGGTATGAAGCAGCTGAAGAGTTTAAATTGCAGAGTATTTGTATGAGTCACATAATGAGATTAGGCCGCATTGGTATGGGCAGAGATCAGACTCAAGACTGGAAGGCTAGTTAGGAGACTGATGATCCAGGCAATGGGCAGTTGTGATCTGAGGGAGGGTAGTGATAGTAGGGAAGGAGCCTAGTGGTCGGATTTGAGAGAGTGATGAGACAGGACTTGGTAATTGATTGGATGTAGGTGTGGGGGAAGTGAGAAGAAGAAGGACTCAAAGGTGAGATCCAGACATTTACTTGGCCAGTTAATGGGCTGTTGGAAGTGCATTTGATAAAATTAAATAATATTGGAGACAGGTTGGAAGAGTAGTGAGAGGGAGGGAAGATGTGGAGATCAGGGTTAGAAATGTCAATTTGAGATCTCTAACGAATATCCATAAAGAAATAGAAACATTTGGATCACAGCTGGAAAAGATATATGGATGAGAGTTTGGACAAAGAAGGCATATGAATTAATAGAAAAATGTGAGAAATGGTATCTGGCTGCATAGTTACACATTGAACATAATAACCGGGGTGTGCAGCATCCCTGGCTGAGGAAGTGGCATCATCAGAGGGGACGGCGAGTGGAAGGGAGGACACGGTGCCCAGACTTCCCGTGGCCGTGACTGTGGTGCTGGAGGCGGGGCGGCGTCTCTGCACTTGGGTCAGTTTTCTCCCCCTGTGATGTCCTGTATTGTGAGGTGGGAGAGTCCATGGTTAGCCTGGGTCACAGGCCAGCTAGGCAAGCCTTACCCCTGAATTCCATGTGCTGGGTGCTGTCCATATTCTTGCCTTAGAAGTCAGTTGGCCACATGGGAGAAACTCACTCAGACTTTAGTAAAAATGAGGAGCTTATTAGGAGTCTGCAGGTCATCTTAAGTCAGACCCCGGAAGCTCACATGAAGTGTGACAGTGCTTACCCTGTAACGTGTGCCGCTTTCTGCAGAGTTGCTGCTTGTGTCTCTGAGGCCTGGCATTCCACAGCCCTCCGTTGGCATGTCCTAGAGTCAGGAGAGATGGACTCCACTCCCTGTCCTTCATGCAGTGTCTTTTCCTGGTCTCAGTGAGCTTGAGGGGGGGGTCCCCAAAGTGGTATATACATGGCCCTGGGCCCACTTTGTCACTAGTGAGTGGCATATCTCAGAGAAGGGTGCAGGTGGAGCATGCAGACACTCTAAGGAGTGTGTCTGGGCACTGTTTGGACCAGAGCTGAGGGAGATCACTGGGGTTTTTGTAAAACCTGGCACCGAGATGACTCGGCTCCGCTATGTCAGGTGGCCAGGTGCCATCATTCTCTCCAGGTGGTTGTACTATCCAATGGGAAACCCTCTGAGGAATGGTAAAATGTCAGGTTACATTGGCTGCTAATGCTGAGCATACAGAAATTTCAAGAAACAATTGTACTTAATTTCAAGCAAGTTAAGCCTCCTGTGAATTGAAGTCATTCTTGGTAAAATGCTTGTTCTGACATGTTGGGCTACTTTTTATTTTTACTGTTTTAATTTAATCCACAAATTCATTCTGGATGGAAGGAGGTTTATCAATATAAGAAAAGTTAGCACATGCCAGTACCCACTCACTTGATCCCTTCTGTGTGGTTCTGTGTACAAGTACTTACTTCTTGCTTTACCAACCACCAGGAGTCCAGCATGCCTGTTGGGACTACAGCTCTTCATTAGACTTTTCTCTCAAGAAATGTGCCCGCAACTCTAAGGGCTATGAGGGTTCCCATAGATTTCAGATGAAAATAACCCTTTGTGAAGATAGGAGTGCTGCCTGGAACTGCATATAAAGAAACTAGCCAAAGTTTATATATCTGAATGTTAAAGTTTTGTGTTCTTTTTTTATTGATCTTTTTGTTATTATTTTTTTTTTAATTTGTAATTTCAATCCTATTTTTTCTTAAAGTAAACTTTGTATTTTAGAATAGTTTTGGATTTTTTTAAAAATCTGAAGATGGTAGAGTTCCCAGATACCCCCACACCCAGTCTCCCTTATTCCCAACATCTTATTTGTATGGTATGTTTGTCACATTCATTATTGCTAATACATTATTGATTGAAGGTCATAGTGTCTTTAGGTTGTCCTAGTTCTTATCTAATGTTCTTTCCTAATCCATGATATCGTGTTTAGTGCTGCTTTTACTAAGAACTGAAACTCAAATGCACATTTTGATTACCCAGGAATGTGAATGCTATTGGGAGGTAGTGAAATAATATGGGATATTAAGATACCTGAAAGGCTTATTAATACACTAGAGGCCCAGTGCACGAAATTTGTGCATGAGGGTGGTGTGTGTGGGGGGGTGCCCTTCAGCCCAGCTTGCACCCTTTCCAATCTGGGATCCTTCTTACAATCCAGGACTGCTGGCTCCCAACTGCTCGCCTGCCTGCCTTTCTAATTTCCCCTAATCGCTTCTGCTTGCCAGCCTGATCACTCCCTAACCACTCCCATGCCAGCCTGATTGATGTCTAACTGCTTCTCTGCTAGCCTGTTTGCCCCCAACTTCCCTCTTCTGCTGTCCTGGTCCCCCCTAACTGCCCTCCCCTGCAGGGTTGATCGCCTCCAACTGCCCTTCCTTGTAGGCCTGGTCCCTCTCAACTGCCCTCCCGTGCAGGCCTGGTCCCTTCTTCCCCTGCTGGCCATCTTGTGGTGGCCATCTTGTGTCCACATGGGGGCAGGATCTTTGACCACATAGGGACAGATATCTTGATCTTGTGTGTTGGAATGATAGTCAATCTGCATATAACTCTTTTATTAGGTAGGATAGAGGCCTGGTGCATGGGTGGGGGCCGGCTGGTTTGCCCTGAAGG